GATACACCTACTTTCCATCTCTTCTTCCCTCTTCTGTTTCCTGGATTTATTTACATCCACCTGGAGTCACGCTGCTATGACTTGGACATGGTTTGTGTGCTTCCTGAGAGTTTAAGTTTTCAGAAACTTGCACCCTGAGGGGATAGTATTGAAGATGAAGTAACACCTTTGAGAAGTAGGTCCTGGCAGAAGGTCCCTGGATCTGGCTTTGACTAAAGTGGTTCTTATATGACCCTTTTGTGGTTCTATATGGAGGATGTTGATAAAGCAAGCAACGGGACCAGTTCTTTGTGCTGTCTGCTTCCCGGCTTGAGAAGGGTGCCTTCCCCTACAGATGCTCTTCCAGCAGCTGTCTTGAATAAGACCAGAGTCTCCACAATGTCAATTGGATTCTCAATCTTTAAAACCATGAGTAAAATCAATCTTTTTTCTTATAAAGCGATCCCATGTCAGTTAACAGTTATGAAAACCCTGGGGAAAACCCAAGGCATATGCACATAAAATTGTTCTTTTATTTTAAGACCCGGCAGATACCCTGTGTATACCATGGCCAGTATCATCCAGAACTGTGTTAGTTGACTTTGAGAGGATTTAATGGCAGCATTTAAAAGGATGATGATATTCTCTGAGTATAAGTGACATGTACAGACAACAATGGGGGCTGTGAAGCAGTGGCCTCCCTTTTCATCTGATAATAACAGATGACCAGCTACTCACTGTTTGAGTAACAGTTTCTCAAGAGAAGGGCCATCTCGTTTGGCTTAGTGTTTATGCTGGTAAGAGTTTTCTCTGGTGCATCAGACTGAATGCACCTTGAAGCTGTTTTTGTTTAGAACAGATCCTGCTGATTACACAACAAACCTCTCTGTCTCTTGATTTATGGTCCTTAGACTGTTCGAGTGACAATAGAAGCAGCAGTATAGCCCTCCTCTGATGCCTGGGGACACAGCTGGGCATGTTAATTCTCTTCACTGGCCATTAGTTTAGAGAGGGCTTAGGTCTATTTCTTGACAGTAAGACTTAAATGGATGTTAGCTTAAGAAACTTCTGGCAAGTATTTTGCTCCCCAAAAGATATAGTGAACTAAACCTTCCTCTTACCTTCAGTGTAGCTATTTAGGAAAAGGTAGGTGTTGTCCTAACACCCAGACAGTGTGCAACCAAAAGGAGAGAAAGATCTTGGGTCTCTGATGACATTGATAACTTACTTCAACAATCTCAGAAACAGCAAAGGACAGGTTTTCTGTTCTGTGAGCAACTTAAGCATCACGTTGCTCAAGGCTGTGTTGGTAAAGGCTTTCTTTATGATGTGGGATTCAATGCTCCTGGATTGCTTGCCAGTCTGGTCCCTTATCCTCTCTGCTTCCCTGGGTCCACCATGGGACCCAGCGTGTATTGCTGTGCTCCACAAATAATCTCTATCTGAATGTAGTATGTTGATGACCCTAAACCTGTTCTTTTCTTCCTATTTTAATGTTTTCCTCTCAGCAGAACAAATTTAATCAAATAATTAAGCAAGCTACCCCAGGGTCTTGTTAAAGTTACATTTGTTGTGTTTATCATGGAAAATAGATACATCCACTGAAAGCATCCCAGTTGTACAACATTGAATGAACTTAGAAATGAAAGAAGCTATACTTTCTTTATAGTTCTTTGCCTCTGATTAATCAATGTAACCTGGGATCGCAAGAAGAAAATAAAAACGGGAAGCTTTTTTACCTTTTAAGCTCTGTTTAGTGAGCTCTACTTTATAAAGAAATGTAAGTCCCACAAGATTGTTCTTAATTTGAGACAGGTACTTTGTAAACAAATTAGTTACCCTTGTTTGTTTTGATCAAATGTTTAATTTCCAAAACACAAAATTTGTTCATAGAAACATTGTTATAATTCCCTAATATTTTCTGGATGCCATAGCTAAATATCAGAAGAAAAATAAGCCAAGTTCTTAGCTAACCAAGATATGTTTTTTTAAAACACTTTAACATTCTTTATAGCCTGTCTAAAATGAGAACGATCCCAGCACATAAATCGTTTATTTCATTGCATTATTCTTGAAATGATGGCTTTAGCTGAAGCATCATGGTCCATCACTTAAGTCTCACATCATGAAAGCTGCATGCTGCTGGTAATTAAGGATTAGCCTGGTAACATCTCACATGTGTCTGAAAAGCTGTTGATGGATGAACAATGGCTGTAAAAGACCCAGTGTCTTCCTTAGAAGGGTTTACTATGCTTGCGATTGAAGATCATTTTTCCGAAGCAGTATGTGCAAAAACAAAAGGGTCAATCATTCATCCACTGCCCCTTGTTTATGAGGCTAGCTTTTCAGAAAGCCATATCCATTAGTTAACTGGCAGTGGGACTTCCTCCACAGCCGTCTCCCATTCTGTTGCTTTCTCTACGGATTAAAGACAGTTGCTATCATCACTTAAGTTTATAGCCAGCTGTTTGGAGCCTATATGGCCACTGAATACTTTTCTAGAATCACAAGTAAAATACTGTGATGGTGAGAGACTCCTCTCCATGTAAGTCATACCCTAACAGTTTCCTATCATAACAAATTACCACATCAAGATGGCTTCAAATCGCACATCTCTGCAGGCTACAAATCCTACACTGGGCATCTGCAGTGTGGTCCCTTGAAAACATGCAAGTCAGGATTTTCTCTCCCTCTGCCACCTGGACAGTAGTTTTCAGACTGTGGTGTTTGTGTCACCACAGAGGTTAGGGTGTTTTCCCCCATATGACTGTTCTTGAAACCTTTCCTTCCTCAGAGTATACCATCCTATTGGCTTAGGGTCCATGCAAATGACCTCATCTGAATTTGATTAGACTATGGTCCAGTCACTCAGATTTTTCGTCATATGGTTTCAGTTGAGGTCAACTATGATACAAAAATATTACTGTAGGAATTATATGAATCTGTGTATGTATGCATATATATACACACACATATACATATATATATTTGTGTGTATGTGTGTTTGTATATATACATATATACATGCTTGTAGATAGATAGATAGATAGATAGATAGATAGATAGATAGATAGACAGTGTAAGGATCAGCCATTCACATAGCATTTACTGCACACCTGAGGAGCTCTGTGAACTATCTGAATGCCCTGATGTACGTAGCATAGCTTGGGGACCACTTGGCAAAGTTGCAGCATAGGGGAATGACAAGAACATGGTAAGTGCTGGCTGGCCAACGCCAGTCTGCTTTTGGTAGCCTTTCACTGTCCTATACTTGGCATAGCTTTCCTGGTCTGGCCCCAGCACCTCTGTCCCTAGGGTTAACCACCCCATGACCTTGGTTTGTCTGGCACTCACTCCTTCTTCCCCTCATCCCGATCCGTCCTTCCAAGCTTTCCATGTTGATAACTGCATACTCTTCCTATTCCCAGAATCTAATTAAGACGGAGCCTTATTGTGTCATACCCTTCCCCTCCCCCCTTCTTTCTCTGTGAAGATGCTCTGCTTTCTCCTAGCCGACACTGACTGAGATGGTGGTCACATGCCGTATTTGTGTCTAAAGGCTTATACCTCTCACAAGGTGCTATAGATAAGTATCTGTTTTGTTTTGTTCATTTTATTGTACTTCAAGAACAATGTATCTTTTTGCCTCTCGGTGCTTAATAAGTCTTGAAATTCTATAAAGGTGCTTCTGACATGTTTATTAGTGGGTTAAGACGCACCAATAAATCATGGGCCATTTGCAATATGATAAGTAGAAAATGAGCTTCCTATAGGAAAACATAAAGCCTGATGTTCTTACTATGTTACAGTTTCAAAAGAAACACCCTCCCAGGCTCCTGTGCTGGAGGCTTGGTCTTCAGTTGGTAGTGTAAAGATCCCCTCCTTTGAAATGTTTTCAAAATATTGTCATAGTTACAACAAGCAGAGAAGCAAAGCTAACCAACAGGCATAAAACAACTGTAGCTCACAACCCCATTTGAGAACTTGCTAAACACTAAAGTACACAGAGGTCAAAACTGAACACTCCTCATCTTAATGAATAAACCCTACTCATGTCTTTTGCAAGACTCAACACGGACCTCACCCTGCTGTAGGCGGTGTTCACAGGCATATATATATATATATATATATATATATATATATATATATATACTATATAAAATTAGGTGTAATGCCATTTGTTCCACATAAGATATCTTGACATCTTCAGTGATGGACAGAAAACAATCTCGGGGTAAACGAAGTGGAGCCCGTTTCAAGCATATTCCTTTAATTCACCTTCTTGTTTGCCCTTCCCATATCGAAGAACTGATTGTGGGCATAGTATATTTGACCTTGTCAAGTTGAATGAGTTCCAGAACATTCTGGAACCGATGTGTACGCTTGCAGAGATTATATTCAATGTCCTAGCTCCTGGGCAGCCTGAAGCTGTAAGGATGATGGTGAAATTTGAAACTGTTTCTTTAAGGCAGGAGTCAAGGACTGGAGCTGGTGTTTCTATTGTGGACACAGCTCAGCTACAGTCTGGAGTCCAATTAGCAGAGAGCTTAGCAGGGGTTTTGTTTAGCTTAGCAACCGTCTGTGCAGCCCCAGGGGCCAGCCAGAGAATCTCCAGCGAGTTTAGCTCATAATCTGTGCATCAAACACTAGTCCTCTTCTTGAGCTCTGTGCCCCTGATCCCTTGGACATCTTACTACATTGTGGGACAGGAGGGATTCCTCTTTGCAGAGGGTAACCTGCCTCCCTCTGTCGCTTTTGACTATTTCCCCCAATCTGTGGGTCCATTAGAGAGAGTCTGTCAGACCTACAAGGAGCTAAACGCTGAAACAACAGTTCCTGGGGGTGGAAAAAGATCTAGAAGCCTCGAGGAAGCGGTGTGCCAGGACCCAGGACCCCCTGCTCGTCCCCAGGGTCACCTGATCCAGATCCCTAGAGGGGGCAGTGGATGGAGCTCTGCAGCCCAGCACCTGGCGTCCTTGACCTCCTTGTGACAGACACAGTAGCCTCTCCGGGACCAAGGCATGAAGGTCGCTGTGTTGGACCTGGGGTCTCTGTTCGCCAAGATCTTCAAGATCTCAACAGCATCCCCGACAGTCTCCAGCCACCCTGGAGACGCAGCGGCCACAGGATCAGGAGAGTCCGGCGCCAGCACGTCGCTTAGAGAGGCTGAGACCCTGACTTTGCTTCCATCTCTGCCTCCAGACACTGCCGCCTCACGGGAGCCCTTCACCCCTGTGCACACTCCGCTGCTCTCTGCCTCGCACCCCAGGAGCTCTGCAGTCACCCATAGGGTAGAAGCAGCAGGGTGTCCCGGATCTCTGCCCAGCAGCTCAGGAGCATTCATAGCACCACCCTTAGCCCCCTACAGCAGCTCTGAGGCTTCAGTGGCTTTGCCCAGCCCAGGGGCTGTCTGGACGACCCTGCCTTCTGTCACCATCCCATTGGGCAGCACCAGCAGCGCAACCTTGAGTCCACGGAACCTCCGCCAGCTGCCAGCTCCTGGAGAGCGAGAGCCCAGTGTATGGATGGCCCCAGGTCCTGTCCCCAAAACTCTGTTCTTTACCTTGCCAGACATTGGCGAAGAATGGACCTCGGACAGCGACTCCCAGGATGACCCAGAAGGGTGAGTAGCAGTCTGTCAATTTTGATCCTCACCCTCTGCCTGCCACAATCTCTTCCCAAGGTCACTCCGCTCACTCTCAGGCTTTCTGGTCATTCCCAACACAGACTATGAGAAACTTTTCCTTAACATCCTCAGAGTAAACCTCTTGTTAATCAGGGGAGAAGAGGGGAGGGACAGGACTGTACGCTTGGTCTCTGCCACTAGAAGCACTGAACCCTAGATGGTGAGCATGATTTTCAGGAGACTTTTTTTTTCCGGGCACCTTTCTCTGCGACAGAATACACCGGGTATCCAGGCAACCCACTCTACAGTGCAGTAGCAATAGTTAAGAAATGACTGAGCGGTGTGTCCACAGTTTCTGAGGATCAGATCTCAAGAGGAATGGCTTTCCTTTATGTTACACCTAGTTAATTTGCATATGTATCACCTCATCTGTTACAAAGGAGACCATGATGCTTAAGATTACTTCTCCCAGAGGTCTTCAGTTCTGTCTTGGGGCCCTGTGTTACTACAGAAACAGGGACTGACTTCATCAGAACAGAATGGGAATTGGAGGCCACCTTCCTCAGCGGTTACAGACACACACACACACACACACACACACACACACACACACCATACACCTACCCTTTGAAAATCAACACGTTATCCTTACCAAATAACTAGAGACTCTAGAGTGACAGTGAATTCTTATTTTTAATGAGATCATATTGCTGGATGTTTTTAAGCGTGTACAAACTTTTTCATTTTTTTGAATGCTTATGGAAGAAAGCTGTTCACGGTATGAATGTGTAGTTTCACGAAAGTGCCTGGCATTCTTGTCAGTGCTGGGAGTTGTGTAATAGTAAGTCAAATGAAGCTGTACATTTGAAATATTAGGTTTTGAAATTTGTTTGTCAATCAATTACCCCCTAATAAGGAAAATGAATTGCACTTGGAATGCTGCTCTAATTACCTAAGGAACCTTTGTTATTAGCAACTGGTCCTCAGCATTCATACAATTAATGTTTTATGAGCAAACAGATCTTCACAGTGACCTTAAACTCTAGGCTCAACACTTTCATTTGGCAAATAGACATTAGAACAGGCCGAACAGACAGAAAGGGAAGTGCCATTAACTCCAATCCTTGCACATATTAGTTCATGTTTGCATTTTCCAAAACCTTTACAACAATTACTTTTTAAATAACTGTGCATTTAGTGTTATTTGCAGAAGCTAATCTGCATTAGCCAATGCACCTAATGTTACTGAAAAGTGAAAAAAAATTGAGTTTCAGTTGCTTTCAGAACTAGAAAAATGTATTGGACGTTGTGTTTTTCACAAAGACACATTAAATAAATGAATAAAAATGTTTCCATCCTTATACGGTCCACTTTCATGAGTTCTTAATTTCAAAAAAAAACAAAAAACAAGAAAAATTGTCTTTAAAAAAAAAAGAATAATTGTTCTTGGGCCCTTTTTTGTTTGGTTTTCTTGGTATTTTCTCAGAGTAAGTAATGCTTTCTCCTGAGATGTGCTGTTCCCTCAGGGATGACTTATATGAGCTCAGCCTATAAGGGTTAAGTGGCTTTACATTCTCTAAGAGTCATATGACCGTGCCTTTCATTAGAAGTAAGAATCCCCGGGCTAGGGAAATAGAGAAGCCAGTAAAGTGATTGCCACACAAACTCAAGGAGCTCCACCCTCAGTGTTTATGGAAAAGGAGTTAGGAGTGGAGATATGCAAGTTTGTAATCTCAGTAATGGGACGGTGGACACTGGTAAACGCCTGGGCCTTGGTGATCAGTGAGCCCCAGGCCAGATCAGACCCTGTCCCTAAAAACAGGATGACTTTGCTTCACATCAGCCAATTCCTTTCTCTTCTGTTAAACTAGAAATAAAAATTCCCAGTCAAAGATATTGCAGGGGTTAAAAGAGGCAGCACATAATATAAAAGTCCCATTGGTCAACACATGTGCACACACACAAATGTATACATACACATATACACATGTGCACACATATGCACATACACATATACACACATGTCCACACATGCACACACATACATATACACATGCAAGAACACACATATACATATGCACATGCATCCACATATGTACATGGATGCCCTCCAATACATGAACACTCAAACTTACATGATTTTCAACATGTCACATTTTCTTAAACATAAAACAATTTTCTCCTTACCACTTAAGCGGTAGCTGGTTTTAACTTTAAACTGTTCTCCTTGTTTTATTTAAAATCTTTGTGACTGAGCTAGTGGTTTATCAGCTACTCTGTCTTTAAAGAGCATGTTTAAGTTTTTTGTAAAAGTCTCCATACACAGCACCTGCCTGTATTAAGTATGTAGCAACGACCACGCGATATGTAATCGGGATCCTGAGTTACATAGTAATTACGATTTGCTCAAGTTTTCAGCACACATATTAAAGTCAGATTGATGTTGATCTAAATTCAATTTTATAGTATTTTTAAAAGGAGTCCTTACAGCATTAATAGCTATTCCCATTACTCAATTCACTTTCTCTTCTGTTAAACTGGGAATAATAGTCCCCTGTCAGAGATACTGTAGGGCTTAAAAGAAAAGACATATGCTGTAACATCCTTAGCCAGTTATTCTCATTATTCTCAACATTTCCTCTTCCCATCTGTTGTGCAGCCTAGTCTCTGGCCTCTGTTGGCTTTATCTGGTGCCTGCCTTTTGCTTCTTGACACTGCTAGCATAGAAGCACTCCATAAATAGCCATTGCTATTGTTTTACAAAGTTTAGTATTTCAGACATTGACAGCATCCTTTGTACAGAGTAGAGTTTAGCCAGGATCTATAGTGAAAGTTAATGTGTTATTTTTCAAATGCAAACCACCAAACTATATGTCCCAAATACCTGTTCTATATAAGACCTATGGTGAGTTAGATTTTTGGAGTAGAGCAAAACCTGGAAATTGTCAGAATAAGAAAAAGATGAATCATTCAGGAGAGGCTAATAAGTAGCATCACATAGACACAGTTAGTAGAATGTGCTTCATGAAACACGGTGTATGCTTTATTAAATAAGCAAATGAACACAATTAATAACATATTGAAAAATTCAGACTCTGCCCATTGATTCTGGAGAAGTAAAAGAAGTTAATGAGGACATCTTATTTTGTTTTTGTTTTTGGTTATTTTTTAAGCTAAATAAAGCCCAGGCAATGATTATATATACTGAATTTAAAATCACTAGATAATAAATATTTGCAACTTTAAAAATGTTTTTTTAGATCCTCAAAACGGTTTCATTTATTTTAGAAATATGATGTTTTTCTAAAGTTTAAAGGATTCCTTCACTGTGTTCTACAAACACCATATTTTCAACAGGACACGATGACAGCCTGTTCTTCAGCTCCCTGGAAGGCTGAAAACTGATGTCACAAAAATTCCAACCGTGACATTTCTTGGGTGGCATTGCCCTTTGGAATCTGGATTTTTATTTTTAATAATCCTATTCTAATAGTTTCCACAAAGCAGAAGTTGTTCGCTGTTATCACCTCACCTTCCTAGTACATATCAAACATTACTCGGGGAAACTGAGGGAAGCTCATTCAGTCCTTGCAGCCAATCAGGACAACGCGATCCACTGCCCTTTCTCACTTCTTCTCAACCATCTTACTTAAGAGATGGACAGAGTTAACCCACTGCATCAGCCCCATCACAACCTAGGGGTGCGATGGTTGCTGTTCTATGTCTTGACTGTGCTAACATGTTTATTTCCAAAAACATCCTAGATACCACAGTACCACTAAAACAAGGGACTGGTATTTTGTTTTTGTTTTTTGTTTTTTCCAAAACCCGTTGAGATTACAGAAGCTATCTGCAACTCAAGAGGTTACCAAACACTTGAAAGCAACAGCTTAAATGTAACATTGGAGATGAGGTTAGTCCCTGGGCAATGAGACAGGAGGAGGACAGGTACCAAGTTCCTAGAGGCTTTCAACATTCTTTGTCTTTCTTTCGATACCTCTCAGAAGATTCACGAGCAGTTGTTAGCATAATCATATCACTTGAATCCTTAATCTCCACAGAAAGATAAGGGCTTGTAAATAACAAGGGCAATAGATAGTTTATTCCTTTATGAAAGTCATGGATAAAGTTACTTCTATTTTGGGGGATGGGAGGGCAGGCCACACCTTACGACTGATATTGGCATAAAGAACTGTGATTTGAGATAACTCATAGGTAAGATGAAATTGTACCCTGTTGCAGTCATTTTAGGAATTTCTGTCTTTTAAAGAGTTTTTGTTACAAAAGCAAAACAAACCCAGAATCTTCTGTGGAAACCCTTGGCAGCACCTGCTGCTATTTTCTTCTTATAGTAAAAAACAAAGAAAGAAAGAAACAAAAACAAAAACACTTTTATCTTTATCATGGTTAAGAGCCAGTCTCTGTTTAACGGAAACATGTCTACCATGTTCCAGAGCTCATGATGTTTGTGACTTTACAAGATCAATATCAATTTCAATGTCTTCCTTCCTGTTTAGTGTAACATAGTTAGCCCACGTTGAGTCTAGTACTGCACATGTATGTGTATGTGCTACAAACACACTTTGAATCCATATGCTTACTGTCCTTGCTGAAAATGCTAGATTTTTATCCCACAGTGACTATGAAGCAGAGGGCAACTTGACTTCCTCTATAAGCAATTAATGAGTTGTTCTTGCAACTTAATCGCTAAGGAGTGACTGCATCGTTAGCTAAGATTCCTTTGGAAGATGAATGGGCAGTCACATCACATCCTGTATGGTGTTTCTTACAAAGCATCCCCTGTTCTACTCCCAGCCGCCAAAGATGAAGTTGTTTCAGCGTGAACAACTGCTAAAGCTCAGAAACTTTAAAGTATACTCAGGAGTTAAGGTGAGCTGGAAATCAGCCAGCTAGCCTGGCTCTGAAACCCAGGTTGGTTCAGATCTTCTCACTTCCTGATTAGATTAAGCAATCCCCGGGTAGCCAGGACTCAGCTC